TTTTTTTTTTTTTTTTTTTTTTTTTTTTTTTTTTTTGACTTTAGATGGCAAATGTACTTTAGAAAATAAATAATTATAATATGCCAAAATTAGCAAAAAAATTAATAATAAAATAAAATAAAAAGAAGAATCCAGATTCACGCAACTCCATGTGGTAGAAACCATTGTCGCCCACGTGGCTAGGCAACCCCGCACACCGATTACACAATACGCTGCCGGCGTGGCATTGGCGACCCCTTATTTCTTTCATAATCACAATGCACTATTTATTATTTTTTTTAATATCTAATAAACACAAAATTTGAAATTTTTTTATATTTATTAATCATAAAAATTAAATAATTTCTATTAAAATTATCAAAATTAAAAGTAAAAATTGAAATATATATTTTAAAAAAAATAAAAAATTGGGGAAAATAAATATAAACATAAGAAGTAGTTGGATTTTTCAATTAAAACAATACTTAGTGCTGATCCGGACTTGAACGTTGAAACGGGTCATTTACCGGATCATCAGAAACCGGCCGCTGTTTTTGTCGTCTATAAATAATCTGAAAAAAATGCCGAAGCTTCAGCAAAATCAAAATCAAAATCAATCAGCTCTCTAGAAACAGGGAAAGCGAGACGCCGAGAAGAAAAGAAGGCGACGATTCATCATTTCAATTGCTTTTGCAGATTGATTAGAGCAATTAGAGCCCTAATTTGACGCCGGAGATGATGCTCGTGTCGGTACTAGCGGAGATTCTGGAGGAGTACACGGTGTTGCTTACGGAGGTGCTCCGGCAGCTCTTCCATTCCGCGCCATTTCCTCGCCGAGTCCGATTTCTCATCCTTCACAATCTTCCTTTCGCCAACAACTCCTCCTCCTCCTCCTCCTCCTCCTCCTCCTCCTCTGCCCTAATTCACTCCAATCGACCTAGCGGCGCAGTTGCTTAGGCGATTTTTGTAATTATCTTCTCACACTTGTATTGTATGTTAAATCATAGCACGATTTTCTTCACTTCTTCTTCTTCTTCTGGTTAGATCTGTGCATATGCTTCGTTTATCGATCTCTGGATTGTTCTTCGAACGTGAGATTTTGCCGATTTCGTTCTTTTTTATCTTCTTTTTTTGCGATATCACTTACAATATTGTGTGTTTTGGCGGCTCTTTTGTGGATCCGATTTTCGGATGATGGAGAATTGGATTGGAGGCAATTGTGTTCTGAGATTTTGGATCTCTGTTTTCCTCTGTTTGAATTGGGAAATGGATTGGGGACTGACGACGGAGCCATGACCACAGATTTATGCGCGGATCTTGTTTCTTAAAAAGATCAGAATTAACACGTTCCAATACGAAATTAGTGTGAGAACTTTGAAGGTTGATGGTGTTATCTAGACTACTCCAGATCTTAAACCACTTTTGAATGATCACCAACCATTTGCCATGAGTTCGGGTTTTTAATATCACATTCTTGAAGCTTAAATTATCAAGTTTAATACCTACAAATATGATATCATGTTAGAATGTCCAGCATTACACAATAAAATAGAACATGAATTTAATGAAAAGTCAATTTATTTTATTCTCGAATTTCTTCCAAATTAACATCAACCAAAAGTTATGCATTAATAATAATAAAATAGAACATGAATTTAATGAAAATTCACTTTATTTTATTCTCCAATTTCTTCCAAATTGACATTAACTAAAATGATTTAAAATTTTAATCGATATTATTTTGAGTCTGTGATTTTAATTTATATCTTTTGAGTCCTAAAACTTAGTTTTGTTTTAAGCTCGAACTTATTAGATATAAAATTGGGAGATAAATTATTCTCTTAATGTCGTATTTAAAAAATTTTAAAGTTTTAAAATGCGGCAAGAATCCGTGTTGATGTGTGAGAATAGTTCTCACTCTTTAGAAATACTTCAAAAACATGTAGATACCCCACCCCATGGTCATGAGGTCTGAATGTCTGAATTAACATAGTTCCCACTCCCAGCGTGCGCGGCCCAGCCCACTCAAGCGTTCGCGGGTCAGCCCACTCACAGCGTTCGCGGCCCAGACAACACCAGCGTGCGCGGACCAGCCAAGGCCAGCGTGCGCGGCCCAGCCCAGTCCCAGCGTGCGCAGCCCAGCCAACTCCAGCGTGCGCCGCCCAGCCACTAACAGCGTTCGTGGCCCAGCCCACTCCCAGCGTTCGCGGCCTAACCCACTCCAACGTGCGCGGCCTAGCCAACTCCAGCGTTCGCGGCCCAGCCCAGCCCACTCAAGCAATCGCGGCCCACCCAACTAACATCGTTGGCGGCCCAGAAAACTCCAGCATGAGCGGCCCAGCCAACTCACAGTGTTCGCGGCCCAGCCCAGTCCAGCGTCGCGGCCCAGCCCACTCAAAGCGTCCTTGACCCAGCCACACCTGCATTCGCGGACCGGCCCATTTCCAGCGTTCGAGGCCCAGCCCACTCCAAACGTGGGCGGCCCAGCCAACTCTAGCGTGCGCGCCCAGCTTACTCCCAGCGTTCGTGGCCCAGCCCACTTCAGCAATCGCGGCCCACCCCACTCACAGCGTTCGCGGCCCAGCCTACTCAAAGCGTGCTTGACTCAGCCCACTCCAGCGTTCGCGGCCCAGTCCAGTCCCAGCGTGCGATGCCCAGCGCGCTCCAGCGTTTGCAGCCCAACCCACTCCAACTTGCGCGGCCCAGCCCACTCAAGTAATCGCGGCCCCAGCCCACTTCAGCTATCGCGGCCAACCCCACCAACAGCGTTCGCGGCCCAGCAAACTCCAGCGTGCGCGGCCTAGCCCACTCACAGCGTTCGCAGCTTAGCCTACTCAAAGCGTGCTTGACCCAGCCCACTCATGCATTCTCGGCCCAGCCCACTTCCAGCGTACGCGGCCCAGCCCACTCCAAGCGTTGGCGGCCCAGCCAACTCTAGCGTGCGCTGCCCAGTCCACTCAGAGCGTTCGTGGCCCAGTCCAGTCCCAGCGTACGAGGCCCAGCCCACTTCAGCAATCGCGGCCCAGCCCACTTCAGCGTGCGCAGCCCAGCTCAGTCACAGCGTGCGAGGCCCAGCGCGCTCCAGCGTTTGCGGCCCAGCCCACTCTTAGCGTGCTCGGCCCAAACCTGTCCCAGCGTGCGCGGCCCAGCTCATTCCAAGAGGTCGCGGCCCAGCCCACTCGCAGCGTTTGCGGCCCAGCCCACTCACAGCGTTTGCGGCCCAGCCCAGTCCCAGAGTGCGCGGCCGTGCCCACTAGGGTTAGCGGACGAGCCCACTTACAGCGTTTGCGGCCCAGCCCACTCTCAGCGTGCTTGGCCCAACCCAGTCCAAGCGTACGCGGCCCAGCCCACTCCAGCAAATCGCGGCCCCGCCCACTCCCAGTTTTCGCGACCCAGCCCACTCACAGGGTGCTTGACACAGCCCACTCCTGCATTCGCGGCCCAGCACACTCCCAGCGTGCGCGGCCCAGCCCCCTCACAGCGTTCGCTGCCGAGCCCAGTCCCACAGTGCGCTGCCCAGCGCACTCAATCGTTCGCGGCTGAGCCCACTTACAGCCTTTGCGGCCCAGCCCATTCTCAGTATGCTCGCACCAACCCAGTGCCGGCACGCGCGGCCCAGCCCACTCCAGCAAATCGCGGCCCCGCCTACTCTCAGCGTGCTCGGCCCAGCCCACTCTAGCGTTCGCCGCCCAGCCTAGGCCAGTCCAAGCTTGCGCGGCCCTTCTCACTCCAGCAATCGCGGCCCAGACCACTCTCAGCGTGCGCGGCCCAGCCCAGCCCACTCCCAGCGTTCGTGGCCGAGCCGAGTCCAGCGTGCGCGGCCCAGCCAACTCCAGTGTTCGTCTTCCAGCTCATTTCAGTGTGTGCTCTCCAGCCCAGTCAAGCGCTTCTCCCCCAGGTCACTCTACGTGTGCGGCCTAACCTCTAATCCGCGATCCATCGATCCGTCTCCATTAGGGGTGTACAACCGGATAGTTTCTTTTATACTTTTTTTATTAATTCATTATTTTTAGTTTGTTTTATAGGTTATTGTACTTCGAACAAAATTATAGGACATATTATATTTGAGTAATTTTAAATAAATTTAAATATCGAATTTATAAAAAATTACTTATCAACTTTAAGTGGGAATAGTAAACGGATAAAAAATTAGTTTCTATATATATATATATATTCCTTAAAATTTTGTTATAAAATTGAGATGCAGTAATTTTAAATTTTAATATATTTATTATCCTTTTCATAATTTATATAGATATATTTTTTTATTTTTTTAATAATTTGAGGTCCTCCGTAAATAAATTTATTTTAGAGTAAAATATTTTTACAGTAATTTTTATTTTAGTTACAGAGTAATCCATTCTCAGATTTGAATAGAGAAGATATTATTAAAACACAGAAAAGTGGATAAGAATATGAAAATGAAGTGACTTTGTTTATATGGAGAACATGTGCTGTACGCAGTGTGCCCCATGCATTTCTTAATTCCATTAGCCACCAAAAGCTTCTTTTCCACTTCAAATTCCTTTCAAATAAAATATATGACTTTTGTTTTTTTAATTCGCGTGTTGATATGACAAAAGTGGATTAAAAGATTAGGTTAAACGATTCTATCAATCACACTCGAATTAATTTATTTTTGATACAAGGTGGTAATGGGTGAAGTCGTGGGTGAAATCGCGGTTCATAAGATTGCATGCAGCTTCAATACATAGGTCTTTTTAAACCAACAAAACCCAACAATCTCTTCACCCTCATTTTCTCGATATACATTGTTAGGCTCGAGAAACAAACAAATTTAAACTTTGAGTGTAACGGTCCAAGCCTACCACTACTAGATATTGTCTTCTTTTTTTTCTACTAAATATGAAAAGAAAAGGGGCCAGCATGAATTTGATATTATTTCTCCATTATCACTACTCAGACAAACACAAGTGAAGAGAGCAGCAAATGAAGAAAAGAAAAAGACAGACAAATGTTGATTCTGGTGGGGTGTTCCATAATTAATTATTGTCCTAAAAGTAGAACCAAAGAAAAGAAGATGTTTGGAATATATGTTAGTTGTTACCCTCAGCATCAAAGTTCATACCTTTTTGTGCATAAAAGTTTCCCCTTTTCCCTTAACTCAGTTCACATCACAACACACAGACTCCATAACTTTCTCCCTTCTTCTCAAGGTCTTACAACATGAATTAAGCCTTCCATCCTCTTCAAACCACTCATATATAAAGAACAATAGATTTGGATTTAGATCTCAAGAGGATGCCTCTGACACACACGAATATGTTCAAAGGCTGGGGATTGCTTTGAGTTCTTATTATGCTCTCTCTCTCTCTCTCTTATATAACAAGTTTTTGTGTCTTCAAAAATGGCTACCGTTCTCCCAAGAGCAACTTTTGGTTCTGTCATTTATTCCTATTTCCTACGTTGTTTTGGGAATTCCCATAATCATCACAAAAGCTTCAATCGTATCATCTTCAACATGCCAAAGCCAAAACCCCTTTCCTTGCAGGTAATACTCTCAAAATCTATTCATTTACTATACTTTCTATGTATTTTCTCTCTCTTTTAGGAAAAATTTGATGAATTTACTCATTTTTTGGGATGAAAACTGAAAAAAATTCAATCTTTATTTGATGGGGTTTTGAAATTCACCATCTTTTACATGTTTCTTGGCTTTTTTGTGTCAAAATATCATGTGGGTGTTGTTTGAAATTTGAAGAAACTCAATTTTAAAGGTGCAATTCGACAAGGGTTTTGAACGGTGAGAAGAACGAAGCATTCTTTATAAGAGTGTAAAAACATCTCCCTAGCAGACGCGTAATAAAAACTTGAGGGAAAGCCTAAAAAGGACAATTTCTACGGGAATAAAAAAATTTACGTCCTTAATGGATGTGAGAATCTTGTAGATGTGAAAAGGAATTACAATTTGGTAGAACATGACTTTTTATTAATTCCTTGGCTTATGAGTTAACCCCTTGTAAAAGCTTCTTCTTTTCTAATCAGCAAAAGGAACAAAGGTATAATAATAATATCATAAGAGAATCTATTTCTATCAATTTGCTGAATGTTTTGCCTTTTACAGACTGTTGAGCTAAAAGTCAGGATGTGCTGCAGTGGTTGTGAACGAGTGGTTAAAGATGCGATCTACAAACTTAGAGGTACGAAAAAAAAAAAGGAAAAAAGTTCATCTTTTTGTAGGCAAATTCTAAAGACACTATTAGGGTTTGTGTTGTTTTGAGTAGGGGTTGACTCGGTCGAGGTGAACTTGGAGCTAGAGAAAGTGACGGTGATTGGGTATGTCGATCGGAACAAGGTGTTGAAGGTGGTTCGAAGGGCGGGGAAGAGGGCGGAGTTTTGGCCTTACCCAGAGCCACCGCTATACTTCACGTCAGCGACTGAATACTTCAAAGACACAACTCGTGAGTTTAAAGAGAGCTATAACTATTACAAGCATGGCTATAATGTCGGAGAGAAGCATGGAGCGATGCCAATGTCTCTTCGGGGCGATGACAAAGTGAGCAACATGTTCAATGATGACAATGTGGATGCTTGTCATGTCATGTAAATATAGGGTTGATGATCTTGTCTTGTTGGTTCTAAGTCAGCTGCAAAGTGTGTGTAAAATGCAGTTTAATTGTTCCTTTCTATTCCCTTATATTTGTAAGCATGAGTTTATATTATAAGCAAGTTTGTGTGTTACCAAATTGGAAAGGGTTGCTCTCATTCTTCAAGAACACCACCGATGGACTCGCTATAGTAATTTGTTTTTCAACATTTTATGAGATAGAGATGTCTATTTTACACTCGTGTACCCACCATGAATGGGGAGGAGACGAATTATGAGATAGACAATTGAACTATCTGTTTTTTAAATGATAATCGGTGTCTAGAGATGTCCATTTACACTCGTGGACCCGCCCTGGGGAAGGGACGATTTATGAGATACGCAAATGAACTGTCTGTTTTTTAAATGGTGATTGGTGTTTGTCCATTTTACATTCATGGGCCCGTCCTGAATGGGGAGGGGACGATTTATGAGATATGCCATTGAACTGTCTATTTTTTAAATGATAATTGGTGTCTAGAGATGTCCATTTACACTCGTGGACCCGCCATGAAAGGAGAAGTGACTATTTATGAGATAGGCAATTGAACTGTCTGTTTTTTAAATGGCAATTGGTGTTGTCCAACACTTGTGGGATTCACACCAGTGGACTTGCTCTAAATGGAGAAGGGACGATTTATGAGATAGGCAATTGAACTGTCTGTTTTTTAAATGATAATTGGTGTCTAGAGATGTACATTTACACTCATGGACTAACCCTGAATGGAGAAGTGACTATTTATGAGATAGGCAAATGAACTGTCTGTTTTTTATAGGGTAATTAGTGTTGTCCAACACTCTGGGCCCGTCCTCAATGGGGAGGGGGCGAGATACACAATGGAACTATCTGTTTTCTAAATGGTAATTGGTGCCTAGAGATGTCCATTCACACTCGTGGACCTGAATGGAGAAGACGATTTATGAGATAAAAAATTGAACGGTCTATTTTTTTAAATGGTAATTGACGTCCACAGATGTCCATTTTACACTTGTGGGCCCGTCTTGAATGGAGAGGGAACAATCGTCTTGAATGGGGGAACAATTTATGAAATAAGCAAATGAACGGCACGTTTTTTACATGGTAATTAGTGTCTAGAGATATCTATTTATCTATAGGGACTCGCCCTAAGGAGGGGATTCCCCGAAAAATAGGAGTGGAAGTGAGAAACATTTTTTATTGTTGGATAAATAGGATTGGGGACCGAATTATATTCCCCTCCGTACAATATAAATATACTTTTCACACACAATATATAAAATTGCTAAATTAAAAAATTAATTAATTAATGTTGTAAATTTTTAAAATTTTTTAAAATTATGTTGGTACAGTCTCAAGTATATATTTGTTTATAAAGCACATTAATTATTAGAAGTTTTGTTAATAAAGATTATACCGAAAAATAAGCACTTTAAATCTTTTTTTTTTTTAATAATAAATAGGTAAAAATTACTTGCTGGGACGCGGAAAATCCCTCTCATTCCCGTAAAAATAAATAAAGAATTTTGTAGGAGATGGAGACGGAGATGGCTTCCTCATCTCGACCCCGCCCGTGAACATCTCTATTAGTCTTCGAATATCAAACAAAATTAAAGCAGAAAATATCCGATATGTACCGAAAAAAGTAAATTTGACTTACCAATTTATTATCAAATTTACACAATATCTTTAACTAATATGTTTGATTAAAAAAAGACAAAACTAAGATATATTTTGACATTATTTATTAATGGTTTTATTTTTCATATTGAAACAAACAGTGGAAGACTATATAGCTGGAAAGTACCCAATGGTAACATTTGATTCCACCCTTTGCGATACTCTCGTTGAATTCCACTCCTGAACGAACTCCACAGCAAGTCGAAACACAGTTCCAAGTCCAAGCACCACAATAACTCCTGTTCTTCAACCTTTTCAATAACCATAAAAAGCACCACACGAAACTAGAAACAATAGCTCGATCAATGAAAATCGTCAACGTACCGATGATGATATTTACGGGCAACGCAGAAACACCGAGTGTGATGGATATAAGAACGTCCAGTAGCAAACCCCCTATGAGGATGGTAAAAGCCAGCCAAAGTGGACTGAAGCAGTGCTGCTGCATAAAGAGTTACACGAACACGGTTCGAGTTTTTTGACTACTCATGAAACAAGCATATCATTGAAAACCGAAAACTCTTACCCTTTGGGGTTCTTGATTTCTGTAGGTCGGATCGATCCTCCACATCCAGTAGTTGGTCTGTGCTTGACAAATATACAGAATAATCAAACTTCGGGTTATTCCAATACGATATCCATCCATCAGGACATCGTAAGTTCAAAACGAATCAATAATTTGAATTTGTAACGCGACACGAGTTTAATATGTTGAACACGTTGTTCCACTTCATAAAAGGAATAATCAGAAGCAAAGATTACAGATGAAAATGTCATGATAACTTTTTCATAATGTGGGAAAAGAAAGTAGGGTATGGTCGCAAATGCAAAACTAAAACATGATGTTGATCATCTGTAACGGCCCAATCCTACCGCTAGCAGATATTATTCTCTTTGAGATTTCCCTTCCGGACTTCCCATCAAGATTTTAAAACGCGTCTTCTAGGGAGAGGTTTCCACACTTTTATAAAGAATTCTTCGTTCCCTTCTCCAACTAATGTGGAATCTCATAATCCACCCCCTTGGGGCCCAGGGTCCGATGTCTAGCTCTAATACTATTTATAACAGTTCAAATTCACCGCTAGCAGATATTGTTCGTTTTGGCCCATTACGTATCGTCGTCAGCCTCACGATTCTAAAACGCGTCTACTAGGGAGAGGTTTCCACACCCTTAGAAGGAATGTTTCGTTTTCCGCTCCAACCGATGTGGGATCTCACAATCTCTGTGATGACGGGTGAGAAACTTATAAAATATGCTTATACAAGATGTGTGAGACAAAGGAGAAGCTTATAAGTTTTAGGATTAGGGATGATGAAGATGGAAAAGGCTAGGAATTGAAAACTAAGCATAATCATAGCAGCAAGAGCTATAGAATACCTACACCATGATGTGATTGTGGAGGTGCTACGTTCGCCGCTACGACCCTGAAAATCGTATCAAAATTACATTTCAAACTGCCCCTGAAACTATATGATTGTGTTAAGTGAATGAATATCATCCTCAAAACGAGCAACTTACTGGCATATCTCACATCTGTTCGATCCTTTAGTATGAAACCAAGTATCTATGCAAGTTCGATGAGCGTTTGCGAGATCACCTCGACAATGACATCCAAGTTCTATCAAGACTTCTTCCTTGTCTTGCTGACAAATTCTGAAATATAGTACAACATAGGTAAGATTGAAAACCAACAGCATTACAATGCCAAAACCCACAAGAAGATATTAATCTTTTGTTCTTCCGTGTAACAAATATGAGTGGAGATATTGTCTTCTTTAGACTTTTCCTTTCGGGCACGCGTCTACTAGGTTGAGGTTTCCACACCCTTATAAAGAATGCTTCGTTCTCCTTCCCAACCGATGTGGGATCTCACATTCAACCTCCGACCTAAATCTATATATAGTGGTAGTTTCACATAATATCAAACTCTCCTCTCGTGCAAAATCGTTCCCTCTTCATATTAATAGATCACATATTCGATTCATGGCTTCTTTCGATTTAGTGGTTACTTAACAAAACCCGCAGAAAGTATCAACGTTCGACAAGCAAACACGTGAACAAACAACTAGAAGAGCATTTTTCATGGAAGAGTAGCAACTCAAATGTACCTGCACTGCTCATCAGAGCTAGAAGTGGCAGACAACAGCTCCTTTTTAGGCAACAATCCCTCTTGAGAGCTAGTAGAAACAACAATTGTCAATGGAGGAGTAGGTGTATTAGCATCAGCATCACTGGTAGATAGCTCCAATGCTGATGATGGCTGACCCACTCTCTGCTTCTCAAGGTCGAGTTCATTGTTCTGATGGGCGCTGGTATTGGCCTTTACATCATTTGAATGGCAATCATTCAACATATTGAAAGGTCATTCAAAGTTCAAACTCCACAGTTTTGTCTCACCCTAAATTGAACAGAGAATTTCTGCAACTCAGTGTTCATCCCATAACACCATTAAAGAACAAGCGAACAAGAAAAACAAGGCCAACCCACCAAAACTCTCAGTCCTAACAAACGAATGATACACACAATACATTGTGAAGATCGCATTACATGCCGCATTTGAAGCTAGAAATCAGAAACAAGCCACAACCCACAAAACCCAATTTCAGAAATCCAAACCCACAAACAAAATCAAACCAAAATTTCATCTACCAGTCCAAACAAACAACGGAGAAACAAAAACCCATTGAAATAGCCGCATTACACACAGAAATCAGAAACAAAATCACGAACAAGGCTAACAGAGCAACAGGAAAAAGATCAAGAACAAAAGGGAATAGAATCAGAAGGGGTCGTACCTGGGGAGACTCGGATTTGACCGATTGAAGCAGTAGAGAAAGAGAGCTGAAATGAGGAAAAAGAAGAGAAAAAATACCAACCCGAGATTTCTTTATTTAGGTGAGAATTGAAAATAAATTGCGTCGTGAATACTGACCGCTTGGGGAAAAATGGATTTAACGCTGAATGAACTGAAAAACAAACAGAGAAACAAACGGAAAAAAAGAAAATCCAATTTATTTACGCAAAAAGATGCGTAAATTATGAGATAATTACAAAAGGGTATTGCTTTAAAAATTCAGTCGCCAAATCTCACTACCATATTGAAAGAGACCCGCAACCACTGTCCACGGCGACCCTTTTCAATTGCTTTTCTCAAATTCAAAAAATAATAATAATCAAAGAGACAAATGAGAACTTTCTTGAATTATTCCCATGAAATATACCCTTTTTTATTGTGTTCATGTTCGTTGGGGGTACAAATTCTTATTCCTCCACTCATTTTAATCAAATTAATCTTATTTTATCATAATAATTTATTTATTTTCTCTCTTATTAATATAAAAAAGACCCATTTTGTTATTTTTCGTTAATGAGTTGATACCAAAAAGAAAAAAAAAAATAGTCCAACTATTAAGAAACGATTTTCGAGCTAGGTTTCTTGGATCCACGTATTTCTAATCGGACTTGAAAAATAACAGATTAAATAGGTTAAGTATGCATTTATAATGGTATATATTCTTAACTATTACAACGTTTGGTTTAGATTGACAACTCGAAATTAAAACCAAGTTCGGTCTTGATCTCGTTTTGCCACTCTATTGGGTTTGCCCCTCTTGAATCAGCAACACTGCCCAAAAAAAATTACAAAGAACAGAACCCCATATCTCAAATCTTTGTGGTTTCATCTTCTTAATTGATTATGATTTCTAGGGCTCATCTTGTTGTGATTCCTTCGTCATTTGATCTTCCTCTACCACCACCACTTTTGAAGCACAGCTCTCCATCTCTTTCTTCTTTCCCCATAGTAAAATGTAGAGTCCAATTATCACAATGACTGACCCCAACAAGCTGTTTACGTCCGTATCGAAAATCGTAATATCATAACATGATTGAGAGATGATATAAAAGGGTAAAACTTATTGTGGGCATGTTTTTAATCATTGAAAGTCGATCTTATTGCGTGGACGTTGCGTCCAATAGCAAAAAACTAAAATCACTTTCAAACTTGTTGTTGAAGGTAAATTACCTTCCGAGATGGAGTGGCTCGTGCAAGATGGGGATGTCTAACATGGCTGCCATTATTTGAACCAATGGGCTGAAGGCTGCTGTGAATACTGGACCTCTCTTCTTAACGCACCACGACATTCCCACGAAGCATATTCCTGATCCGATCATCCCCTGTGTTGATGAGAACGGAACCATAACAATTCTATAGGTTAAATTACAAGTTTAGTCCTCAAACCATGGCGTGCATGCAAGTTGTGGCTCTGATTTTGTTGGGTTTGTGAAACTTACAGTGTACAAAACCGTGAGAATTTGAATCTTTCCGGTGAGTGCCCAAGCGGAGAGCTTTGCGCCGGTGGAGAGGCTCAAGACGGCGGATTGGACGGCGCCGAAGCCGGACATAATGGCAGTGCTCGAGTACTGATACGGATATCTCTTCCCGATGTTCGATTGCAACAGAAACCACGACGACCAGAGTAGAGTTCCAGCCACCAGAGCTATGCACCCCACCGTCCAACTCTCCGCCGTCTTCGTCTTCACCTTCCCACCGACGGCGTGTGCGACGTACGAAGCGTTCACCAATGCCGGCCCCTTGTACGTCGTCAATAGCACCGCGCCGGAGATGCACACCATCGTCCCAATCACCTTCGCTTTCCCACTGCTACATTTCAACTTCACCGACTCCAACCTGACCGGAGAAAATTCTTTATTAGCTCAACTTGGTCGGCGCCATAAATTTTTTCAGATTCAAAAAAGAAAAAAAAAAACATCAAGCTTAGGAGTTAAGGAAAAGACTGTGTTCTAGGTCCACTTTTAAAAAGCTGCTAAGTAAAAGCGTTTGAAGTACAGTCGAAATCGACTCATTTGCCACGAGTCGAAAATTAACAAACTCGGGACAAAGAGAATCGATTCGATTGTTTAAAGTTAAGCTTTCAAGGGTCGGTTTGAAATGACTTTCCAGTTTCTAAACGGGCTCGAGCTAAATGTTTAGATACCCAAATGGGAGAGCAAGAAGAAAAGTGACGACAGGGACTATGTTGACAAATGCACAGGCGAAAGTGGCAGAGGTATGTTGGATGCCGAGAAGAAAGCAGTATTGGGTGAGTGAAGCCCTGAAAGAAACAGAGAACAGAAATCAATGGACAAATGAACAGAAAAATAGGCCTAAAAAGAGAGATGATTGAGGTTTTAACTGACCCAACAATGGCGCTGAAGAACAAGTAACAGAGGATTCGAACAGAGAGATTGGCTCTGCCGTCCCTATAAACCCAAAAAACAGATTAAAACAGAGCAAAACAGAGCAAAAAGGATCATAAACCAGACGATACCCAGAAGCCAAAAAGAAAGAACTGGTTATGAGAGATTACTTCTCGGCGAAGTAGGCAATGGGAGCCAAGGAAATAGCAGCAATGGAGAGACGATAAGTGATGAGAACCAAATGGTTCATTCCATGATTAAGAACTGTCTCGAGCAGAATATTCACGATGGCGAAAGCAAAATCTATGGCTACCATCACCATCAAAGGCTTGCAATCCTTTAAACCCTTCATTCTAAACAAACCCATCACTCCAAAATCCCAACTTTTCCCTTTCTTTTTTGGTTCTTCACAAATTTGCTCAAACTTAGAAAGCTTCACAAAAGAGCAGCTCTCTGTTCTTGCTCTTGCTCTGTTCTTGTTGTTGGTCTGTGGGAGAAATTAAATGGAGTGATCTCAAGGGAGAGGGGGGGCTGATAAGCCTGTAGAATAAGTGGGCACAAAGCAAGATTAAAATTCCTTTAAATCACATCAATGTCTTTAAGCAACCACAACTTTCATATTTTTTATTACAAAAAATATAACTTTAATTGTCCCATTTATTCTCTCCTCCCTCTCCTCCCCTTTTCAACTAACAACATAAATAAATAAATAAATACGTTACCCGAATAAATAAAAGGTACATAAACTAACGTATATCACGTCATAATGAAAGTGTAACAGTTCAAGTCCACCGTTAGCCGATATTGTCTTCTTAAAATTTTTCCTTTCAGGTTTTCCTTCAAAGTTTTTAAAATGTGCCTGTTATGGGAGGTTTCCACACTCTTATAAACAATGTTTCGTTCTCCTATCCAATCGATGTGAGATCTCATCCCCTCCCCTCGATCTCACAATTCACGTACTTTGAGGTCTAACGTCCTTGCTGGCACTCGTTCTCATCTCCAATCGATATGGGATCTCACAATCCACCCACCTTCGAGGCCCTGCATCCTCGCTGGTACACTGGACATTTTAAAAATGTGTTTACTACGAGGAGGTTTCCACACCCTTATAAATAATACTTTGTTCTCCTTCCCAACCAACAGGGATCTCGAAAGTAATCCTAAGGATAGGATGACTAAAAAAGCCTTAAAAGAATAGAAAGTTACTCCCTACACCAACAAGGTGCAGTTTTTTTCCAATGGTTCAATCATTAGAGAGGATAAAATATGCTGGAAAACTCATGTTGATCTGTGGGGATAGTCTTCACTCTTAGAAAAAACGAGTAAGTAACGTGACCATATCGTAGAAGATGTAGGGCAATATTGCGACCATCAAGTACCAAATCTAAATCTAGGACATGGGTCGTTACTAAAATCTCTTAATTTGTATTTTATTTTTGTTCGACCATAAATGTAAAATAGAAGGCATATATACAAAGCTATATATTAGCCTTTTGTAAGGGGTGGTGGAGAAGAGAAGTTTAATATATTATTTGATCTCTATGGTATTATACTCCCAATGTACATTTAAACATATTTAAAATGGTGTATTTTCTTTTCCCATTTTTTGTCCATTTTGTGTCATATCATAACTTTTTTATTTTGTGGTCTAAATTTAAAGAGCTTTTGATACTCTTTGCATGGAAGTCAATGAAGAAGAAGAAACTAAGAGGGAATTAGGGTTTGAATTAGGGTTTGAATTAGGGTTTTGAGTTCCAAGAAGAGAGCTTTATGAACACTTGCTTTTAAGAGGTGAGAAAGTGGGGATTTTTAGGGTTTAAACATGAAGAACAATACGTCAAATCTTAAAGGGTTTTTGTTGGAAAGGAAAAAAAAAAAAAAAAAAACATGACAAGTGTAAAGCTAAAGCCAAAGTCTCTTGCACCATGTCTCCAACTTGTAAAGATATTGTTTTATTTTATGAATATTATTCAAATATTATTCGAAGATACGAAAACGTAGTAGATTATTGCTTATGAAACACGTTTTATTATCCTCTTATTTAAAATTCAAATCAGGATTTGAAATCTGATGGTGTCCCCACTCACATGGAAGTTTTATGATTGAGTCGCTGAAAAACTTAGTCGTCGTATCAATCACTCTCGTTTAGATGTGGTTTCATTCATCATTAACACTTAGATTAAAATGTAGTCTCGTACATATTCTAAACCAAAATTGAGAATTGTCATACTCGTGTCTTTGGTGTTTGTTTTCTCTCGTATGGCCGTTTATGGGTCTATTAAATTAGTCGTTCTTTTAGGTATCTATCTTAAGCGGATTGACGCAACTACATGACTTAGGGTCCTTTTTGGGCTTTTCCTTATGCGTTTTCCCTCAAAGTTTTAAAACGCGTCCACTAGGGATAGATTTTCACACTTTATAAAGAATGATCCACTACATATATTTGTAGAATGACATTGTAGAATTTAAGCGTAAGAAGCTACATGACTTTGTTATTTTGTTTTACCCCCGAAAGCCTCAAACAAAGCTAATTTCTCTTGTCTGAAGCATACGGTTAATCTAATAAAGCTCAACTATAGGGATGTATACCAGTTGGGTTGAGTTGGGTTTGAGAAATCTTTTGTACCAACCCAAAAGCTCGTGTTGATTGGGTTGGTGACTCGAGTAATCTGAAAAGAATTCACAATTTAACTCAGCTCATCCCTCTATTTTTGAGTTGAATTAGATTGGGTTGGGTTGGGTTGTCGAGTTATTTTTTTAAAAAAAAACATACTTATTTACCATGTTACATTAATAACTAAAATCTTATAAAAGCTTAGATATCAAACATTCATAAGTCACAATGCACTCACTTAGATCGTTAAACGTTAAATATTCTTGATTTTCATAAGAATCTTGAGTAGTATATGATAAGGTTAGATTGTAACCCCATTTTTAGGTTGGTCAAGTCATGTGAACCGTAAGATTGTAACCCTAAAATTTTTAGGTTGGTCAAGTCATGTCACGAATCTACTCAATTTTTTCAGTTTTTAAAAAATTCAACTCGGAAAGAAGAGGACTCAACGATTATTTGTTCGCCGGAACCAGAAGTCAAAATTTTGGAAGATAGGGATTCTGTAAAAACTTCTTTCGAGAAATGGGCCAGACCGGGTCATTTCTCGAGAACTATAGCTAAGGGTCCTAATACTACCACTTGGATTTCGATAGCCATACTAGTGATTTGGAGGGATATCTCAAAAAGTATTTAGTGCTCATTTCGGCCAACTCTCCATCATCTTTCTTTGGCTGAGTGGGATGTATTTCCACGATGCTCGTTTTTCCAATTATGAAGCATGGCTAGGCGATCCTACTCACATTGGTCCTAGTGCCCAGTGGTTTGGCCAATGACCCAAACTCAACCTTTATGGTTTGGTTTGAGGTTGATTGGATTCTCGAACCATGAGAACACCCCTACTCAACCACAAATTTTTACTATGACAACATCTTTTAAAGCTAGCTCGTCTTTGTTCAACATTCAAACATTCTACGAACATGGCTAAGAGCATGTTTACCACCGACAACCACATACCATAAAGATTCTGTCATTCTAGACCATATGAAAGTACTCTTTGTTGGTTTGTGAATGTTTATGACCGTTGATTATAAATATATTTTCATAGTTATCCACTCAAAACCCTAATAAATGTACCCATTAAGTTTGTTGCTTTCCTTTCTTATCTCACATCTCACTATTGAATTCAATCGCATCCGTTAATTAATGCTCTTTTGGAATCTAACAGTAATAAATGTTTCACCAAAATTCTCTATTATTTTCTTCTTTTGTTTGGAATCAAATTGGCATAACATATTCCACTCCAAGTTAACCTAATTTTTAAGAGAATCTCATTCTATTACCCTATGTATCTTAAAAGAATATAATCGTGTTTAGTTTGAGTTACTCGAACCGTTAGTAACTCACTAGACTCAAACCGACCAAGCTCAGGGGAAACCTTGGTGGACCACGAGGTTGATCCAATGATCCAATGATTAGCTACCCAAAAAGGAATAGGATCTCAAGCAAGCTATTAGGTTAGCCAAGGATCGTTACATATCTCCCACTAACATCGTCGACCCATTGTATGAATTCGACGATAGTTGTTCAAATGAGACAAGTATAAATATGAGAGCCCACAAGGTTTTGAATTTGAAATTTTAAAATCCACGTCGGTTGGAGAGAGGAACGAAACATTTCTTATAAGGGGTATAGAAACCTCCTCCTAATAAACTTATTTTAAAAACGTTGAGAGAAGGTCTAAAGATACAATATCTGTTAGGGGTGGGCTCAGGCTGTCACAAATGATATCATAGTTAGCCACTAAGCGGTGCACCAGCAAAGACGTTGGGTCTCCGATGAGAGTGGATTGTGAATCCCAATTTAGAAAATAAAAAAAAAGACATTAATGATTAGAGTCATAATATTTCTCCCTTTATTAAAACTATAGGAGGAAATGAGTACAGCATGACATAAAAAAGTAAAGCCATTTGGGAACTTCAGACATTCAACTTTTCCTTTCATCTTTACTAACCTTTGTATATATGTTTGGCAGCTCATATTTTTCATTTTTTTTTAAAAGCTATTAAATTAAGTTCGATCTATCGTAAAATTTTTGAATCAAAGTCAGAAACTTGATAGATAGTGACATATATTCGATGAACGATACAAATTTTTATTTTTTGTCACAACCACTCGCTTTTAGGTTTCACGTTCTATGCAAAATTCTAACATATTTTTATACGGAGAGGAATTTTGAAACATTGATCAAACGTTTGTTATTTTACTCTTAATCTATCATAAACGTTTCAAAACTACATTTGAAGTATAAATCTATTAAACATTCAAACGAAAGTAACGGACCTGGAAGCGTGTGATGGTGACCTAGAATGAGTGGACGATCCAAACGTCTATTCGTTTCAATTTATATATATATATATAGCTCAAAATACCATTCATTCCCAGCCACATCATTTTTATCACATATTGACCTATCTTTTCATCTTTTTTTTTTTTCTTTTTTTCTTTTTTTCTTTTTTTTCTTTTTTTCTTTTTTTCTTTGTTTATGATCCGAAGATTTGACATAATATAAAAGAGAAAAGAGCAAATCTTTTTTTTTAAAAAAAAAAAAAACACACACACACAATTATAGGTTAAATTACAAAATTAACCTTTGAACCTTAAACTATTTAAAATTATAAATTTAGTATCTAAGTTTTTTTTTTTTTTTTTTTTTTTTTACATAAATTAAATATAAAATTTATATTTATATTTAATAGATTAATTCATTCTCAAAAACTTTTTATTTTTCTTAAATTTGTTAGGCATAAATAATAAATTTTAAAATATGAAAATCTATTAAACACTTTTTCAAAGCTCATGGACAATAATAATAATAAATAAATAAATAAAAAATAAAATTTAGAACTAAAATTTTAATTTAACTGTTTTCTTTTTTTATAAAAAATTGTTTACAAAAATATATTTTTTAATTAAAAAGAAAAAAGATTTTTAGTGCATTTTTATGATTCATAACGCACAAATAAATAATGAGAAAATGCTTTTACAAAAAATAAAAAGCTATTTTTCAAAATACTCTCAAATAGTATCTAAGATATTTTGAATATTTGGTTCACATGATCAACACCTTTCACTTACAATTACTTATCTTCATGACTTTCCTATAATTTGAGACAAAAGCTCTTCTTTTTTTCTTTTCCTTTTGTACCCTTTGTCTGCCTAAAAATTACCTCATAAAGACCCCGCTTATTTTGGAGGTTGGGGGCAAAAAAATAACTTTATGTCGGTTTCTATTTCTTAAAATTATTTAGATTGACAGTTATTTTCCATTGAAAATAATTATGATGGTTGTTTCAAATATTGTTTATATCAATAATATGACAGATATTTGTTCATATTTGTCATCCATTGTAGATAGGATCCATTGCTCTCACACATTTGAGTGTTTGCTCATTGTTTAGGTACTCACTGCAGTCACTTCTATGGTTCTTCGCACGTAGATGGTACCAAGACCCTTCTATCCCGACACCTGATCACAAACCCTGTATGATCCACAACTCGAAATGAGCTTTGTGATGAGACATGGACATTTTCTTGGTGCTACCCACTTTGAGGAACGATTAGACGAGGAAGATTTAAACTAATTTGGACTTAAATACGTTAATAAAGTGATGTATAAAAGAAGATGAAAAAAGAAAAGTTCTATTAGAAGGACCATTAAGTGATATCTTTTGAAGCACTTTAAAGTGATCTATCAATTTGAGTTTATTTCTACTTTCGGTCCTTTTCCCAATTTTGCGATTATTTTAAAGTACCTATTTATTCCTTTTTTCTTTTTTCTTTTTCTTTTTTACTTAGTTTCGTCGCTGAAATTATTAAAAAATGATGCAATATTTTTTTTCATCATGTTTTCCTCTTTTTTTTTCTTTTTCTATTTTTTATTTCCTTTATAATAACATTTAAAAAATAAATAAATAACTAATCGAAAAAAAAAGATAATCAGTTTTATATCTCTCGAGTCTTTTTCGTAACACATTTCTCAATAACGAAAGCTGTCGTCCAATCCTTAATGTAGTCCAACTCATTCTTCAACAAACATGCGATAACGTTTTGGTCTCTTTCCACTACTTGGAAGCTCACAACTTCATGTTTTATGTCACTCTCCGAAAACTATTCAACAAGATATGTTTTGCTTGCGGTGGGGTTTTAAATGACACATCTAGAAATCATTGGAACTATATTTCCATGTTTGTCTTATAAACGGCAAAGATCATAGCCTTATTGTCTTTGGTCTCTGTTAGTTGCACGAGACGCGATATCTATTTTCGGTATCCAAGCCTCTTACAATTTTTCTTCAAGTGTCGAATTAATACCCCTCTCCATCCAGTCATAAAATCGTGAGTTTTTGTGAGCTCCAATCATACTGTAGGATTTGATGAAAAAAATTAATTTACTATTGATTTTAGTATTTTGAGTATTTCATAGTAGCATTTTAAAGCGCTTCGATTAGACATTGAAGGAATGTATGATGACCAAAAGATTTAAAGAAAAAGGGTTCGTGACGGTAACGTGTATCTCCTTCAAAACTGCTTGCAGTGGCGAGGAGAGGTAAACTGACTAAAGTTGTCATTCAAAGCTTAGTTTCCACGTGAGTTTGCTCAATTGGCAAAGAAGAACTTCGCTTAAGGTTCGATGAATGCGTATAACCGGATGAAAAAGTGTAACAGCCCAAGCCCACCACTGGCAAAGATTGTTCGCTCTTGTCCGTTACATGTCGCCGTCAGCCTCACAGTTTAAAAATGGACTGTGAAATCCCCATATCGGTTGGAGAAGGAAACAAGACATTCCTTATATGGGGTGTGGAAACCTCATCCTAATAGACTCTTTTAAAATCGTGAGATTAATGATGATATGTAATGGACTAAAACAAACAATATCAACTGACAGTGATCATGATCGTGTCAAAATCATGACATCATATGGTTTCAAAAGTATGACCGTGACCTCCCACTCCATGCAATTGCAAACACCATATTTTACCCTTATTTTTCTATGTGATAATTTTTTTTTTTAAAGAGATTTTTGTAAAGGAATTTAATTTTTAATGACTAAGAAATTAATTAATTAATTATTATTATTATTATTTTAAAGTTTTTGATTTTGGGTGTTTTTGAGCACTTTTCCAAGAATTGAGCCCATTTTCGAAACCTAGTTTAGTGGCTCGGTTAGGTTGTTTGAAGGGCACCAAACGCGGCCCACAGCCGTCGCCTCCCTTGAAAGCAGAGTCCGGTCTAGGGCTCTGGCAAATACAAAAGGGCTGTGGTTTATAGGGTTTTGCAAGCACCGAGCAAATGGATTCATTTTCATCGCCCTCAAGCGGTTCTTCTTCCCAATTTTCGCCCAACGAATTCAGGGACCAGCTCAAGACTCAGCTTGCTCAGGCGTACGCCGAGGAGTTTCTTGAGGTTCAAGTTCTCTATACTTGTTTCTTTTCTTCCAAATTTGTTGGTTGAGTTATCGATATATATGTGTATCTGGACCTCTTAGAGTAGTCGGTTTAATGAATGCGTTTCGCTATTGCGTGTTATGTGACGGTTGAAATTAGAGAAATCAATTGGTAATTTCTGGTTTTGATGTTTGGGTAGCGATGCGATCTGGCTTTTAACGATGAGATGTAGGAATTAATCGATGCCAGTTTTTAGGCTGTCGATTTTGTATTTTGGATTTTGGAGTGTTATATCGCAACATCAAACGGAATCGTTTGCGTTCTGTTTTCTCAGTTCTAGTTCGAACTTGTTTTTTATATTCTCATATTTTATTTCTTCTAATTGAAGATGTAGAAATATTAAGTCCATGTGTTCTAGAATTTCTTTTTCGAGGAGCCATTCTTGGTGATTATTAGTTCACAAGAATCTTGTAGTTTTGTGCCTTAAACTTGTTTTCGATGAGTCATTCTAGCCGATTTCATGTTGAGGTTAACATAAACGGCTACAAGGGGGCTCTCTCTCTTGTTGTGATTCAGAGTTTCTTCAAGATTAACACACGAGGAAGAGTTAATGAAGGTGGAAGTGGATGATTATAAATAATTTCTCGAGGTTTTGAGAAACAGTCGTGGTTGAACCTTTCTTGCCCTCATCGAAAATTAGAGATGACCACCAGACACGGACTATAGACAAATAGGCCATTTTAGGATTTGATGGGACAATCGTAGGTCATTTATCCTTGGGAAATGCTTACAAAACAACTGGAAACTTGAATGAACGTGGTTCCATATTATGGGGGTGGATGTAAAGGTTAGTTTGGTTAGGCACATTGCACATTGATGTCATTATACACAAATCATGATCTTGAAAGGAAAAATAATTTTACTTAGTCCTGGAAAGCTAGTTATCCATGAAAAGTCACTAAAGGAAAACAAGGGGGAAAACTTTTTTTTTTTTAATTATAAAAAGGCAACTATCCTACCTTACTTTTACTGAGCCCTCTCTTTCACCTCTGGATTCCCAAGATTTCTTCTAAAATTTGAATTTCAGCTACTATTTAAGCCCAACTAGCATTGATCTACCATAGGATCTTTGGACTTCGGCATGCTAAAGATACTAGGGAAGGAAGGACATAAAGGTTCAATGTTCAGGCAATGATCCTTCCAAAACAGGGTTTTATTACCTTTGCCCTCCTTTGTCTTATACTACTTATTAAAAAAATTGAATGCACTCCGAAATATGGAACTAAGAGCCCTTAAAATGATTGTGCTTTCAATTTCTCTTGCCACTTGTTTTTGGAAGCTATCATCTCTATAGCGGATTGATTTGGAAAAAAAAAATAAAAATAAATGTAGACATTTAATCTTGTCGAAAATCACGCGATTTTTGGCGAGGTATTTATTCCCATTTAGGAGCGTACAAGTATCGTGGTTTTATTGTGTAAATCTCTTGTGGACAAACGACGACGAAATTGCACGAAGTTGGCACCGGAAATCCTGTCGGTAACGAATGGGAAAGAAACGAGGGTTTTTGACTGCACTTTCGGACGGAGAAGATGAAGAGTTGGGTCAGTCATTCAGACCCTAGCCGTTTCGATTTAGCCCACAAGTTCTAAGCCCAGGCGAACTAGCAGCCCACGTCGTTTTAGCCTTCAACCCAGTGGCCCAATAGTCGTGACCCATACCCATCGTGCGTCTAAGTTGCAAGTTTGTTTACGTTGTCCAGCCCAAAGGAGGTCTAGTCCATTCAGTTTCGGCCCAACCTGACAGCTCGTGTTTTCCTTCAACGCCGCACGTGATCAGCTCTCAACCACGACTCCTTTCAATGCATCCTTGGCTTGGCTTCAACGCATCCTTGGCTTGGCTTTATCGTTTTGCTCCTCTCAGCTTTATCGTTTTGCTCTGCTCAGTTTCTCGGCTTAGACGACTCGGTATACTATAATATATCGATTTCTAGGTTTTCGATCATTATGAATCCATTTTTGACCTTATCTAAGTCATTTGAGGTTAGTAAGATTTTTTCTTTACAAGTTTAATTAGCTTAGGAGCTTATATTGGAATTAATCATGATGTGGAGCTAAGTTAAGTTATTAGTAGGCCCTAAGCATGTTATATGAATTTTCATAGGTAGGAGTTAGGTGTTAGATTGTAGTTTCGAGACGACTACCAAATTGTTAGTGTCTTCAGCCAAGGCCAACCAAGTAAGTGACCTTACTATTGGAGTTAGCCTATTGTTTGATGTATGATTGCATGTACCATATTATATGTGTTATGCTTATGTTATGTGATGTTTATGTGATCTTTGTATTAATATGAGACGTATGTCACGTATGCATGTAAACCCATAACACTACTTCTATGAATGAATTGAAACGCTATGAAAGAAATGTTATGTTTTACATTTAAAGTTTTGTGATGGAACATGAGATGTTTGTCATGCATACTTGTATTATGTCATGAAAGAAAAGAGAAAGGAAATGAAATGTATGTTATGTCATGAATGTAAATCACAGGACCTCATGCATGTTTGTATGTCATATGCATTGGGATACTTTCCCATTATGTTATGTTAGTATGGATGCGTACGTTTGATATTTATGTATGCCATGATATCATGCGGACCTTTTCTTTTTGTGGCATCTGGTGGCGTAGACCAAGTTGAGCCCAGGGGTACGTATACGAGCCCGCTTGGGGGCCCATGTGTGCATACGTGGGCCGTGTGGGGAAAAGTAACATACATCCAACCCTGCCCAAATTTCATGTTTTGAATTGGTTAGGCAAGTCCATACCCTTATTTTAAAGATGTTTATTATGAATTTCCGCAATTATGATTTAAGATGTTTAGGTTAAGAAAATTAGGGAGTTACAGTTTGGTATCAGAGCTCTAGGTTTTAGATTTGGTAGAGCATACTTCCAGGGTTCTCCAACAAAAGTATTGTCACCGTTTGGTATGCTTTTAAAGGATAATAATTGTTTAGTTAAATGATGCATGCAATATGTTAGTTTTACTATTTTAATTGAGTAAGGTATGACACAATGTATATGTTGTAAATGTTAGCATGATTTATGATGTGGCAAGATTAAATATGTTATATGACGTGACAAGATTAAATATGTTAAGACATGTATAATATGATGGTTATGCTAATGTAAAGATTGTATGTATGTGTGACATGTATTTGTAGGATTGTTTATTGAAGCCTATTAGTTAAGTATGTGACTAATATGATGGTTATGCTAATGTAAAGATTGTATGTATGTCTGACTTGTATTTGTATGATTGTTTATTGAAGCCTATTAGTTAAGTATGTGACTTAGTAGTTACGTGTTTTGTATAGAGTATGCCACCTAGAACACGAGGTGGAGAAATTTGGGGACGACCCCCACCTAGGGGTAGAAGGAGTGTTAGAAGAGGTCGAGGTTCGAAACGGGATAATTCTGTAAACCAGCCCGATGTAACTGTGCCACTCCTACCACCAGCGATACCTCTGGCCGCACCAAACCCTACTGCTGCTCTAATAGAAGCATTGCAAGCTGTTGTGCAAATTATGATGACTACTCAACGTGCAAATGCTTCATCATCAACTAGACAAGCAAAGTGTTTGCGAGATTTCAAGAGGGTTGACCCTCAAACCTTTAATGGGTCTTCAGATGATCCAACTGAGACACAATTATGGTTGAGATCTATAGAGACCATGTTTGAGTTGATCAATTGCCCTGATGATCAGAAGGTGCGATGTGCAACATTCATGTTGCGTGATGATGCAGAGTTATGGTGGCAATCCACCAGCGAGATTATTAGTCCTGAGGGATGTGTAATCTCGTGGGCGGAATTCAAGGATGCCTTTATGGAAGAGTACTACTCTGAGGACATTCAACTTCGTATGCAGCAAAAGTTCACTCAACTGTGTCAAAGGGGGCGTTCTGTTACCACATATGCTAGGGAGTTCATCAGAATGAAACATTTTGCCCCGGAGTTGGTGAACACGGACTACAGAACAACATGGTGGTTCGTACGTGGGTTGGACAAGAGGATCCGCCATATTGTTGAGGCGATATCACCTGCTACCTATGCTGTTGCCTTGAGAGCAGCTAAGGCCATGGAGGGAGTTGAAGAATCTCCTGAACCCCCTCCACCGATAGTGAAACGAAAGCGACGTCATGACCAAGTTGACCGTCATGACCAAGTTGACCGTCATGACCAAGTTGACCGTCATGATCCATTGCCATCAAAGCCACAACGACGACCTGACAGACAGTACCGTTATACCAGGCGTGGTCAGCAAAGAAATGGAAGCCGACCAGATAATAGACCTCAGTGTAATGAATGTGGGAAAAATCACTGGGGTCGATGTTTGGCCCATACCAGAGCCTGTTTTCAATGTGGAAAGGAGGGTCACATAGCTAAAGATTGCCAAGGAGGTTGCGCGAATGATTCTGGAAACCAACAGAGGAGACTAAGCATAGCAGATCGTCCTACTCAGAACTATCCTTCGACAAGAGCTTATGCCTTTACTGGCAAGGATATTGGGAATTCTGATGCGGCGGTGACAGGTACAATATCTGTTCTTGGTTACCTTGCTTTAACACTATTTGACTCGGGATCTACACATTCATTTATATCTGTTGTTTTCGTTAGTCAAGAAAAATTTATATTAAAATGTAAAAATTTGTATCAAAACATTTGTTGCATGATTTCTCTCTTAGCACCTTGACAGGGGTGGACTTGATTGCCGCTTATAGGGTAAAAGATAGTCCTGTATTAGGAGTTAACCTAGAGGTAGATTTAATGGTAGTTCACATGATTGTATATGATGTTGTGGGAATGGATTAGTTAGTGGAAAATTATTCTAGCATAGACTTTTACCAGAAAGAAGTGATATTTACGACATCGTCCAAGACCAGTTTCAAATTCAAGGGTACGAGTTTAGGAATTATGCCTAAAGTGATATCAATGATGAAAGCGAAGAAGTTGGTTCAGCACGAAGCATGGGTCATACTAGCTAGTGTCATGGATACCAAAAAGGAAGAAACTCCCTTAGCCATAGTGTCAGTTGCAAATAAATTTCCTGATGTGTTCCTAGAGGATTTGTCAAGAATTCCTTCGTCACGAGATGTTAATTTTGGAATAGAGTTGGAACCAAGTATGAGTCCTATCTCTAAGGCCTCGTTTTGTATGGCACTAGTTGAATTGAAAGAATTCAAACACAACTATAAGACCTGTTGGATAAAGGATTTATTAGACTCGGCGTTTCTCCTTGGGGTGCGCTGGAGTTATTTGTCAAGAAAAAAGATGGTTCGATGCCCTTGTGCATTGATTACAGGGAGGTGAACAAGAGAATGGTGAAGAACAAGTATCTTCTTCCACGCACTGAGGACTTATTCGATCAACTTAGGGAAACAACAATGTTCTAAAAAATTGATGTTCAGTTAGGTTACCACTAGATCAAGATAAAAAATGAGGATATACCGAAGACAACTTTTAGAACAAGCTATAGCTATTATGAGTTCGTGTTATGTCATTTGGACTCACTAATGCCCCTGTAGTGTTCATGGAACTGATGAATTGAGTGTTTAAGAAATGTCTTGATATTTTTGTCATAGTATTCATTGACAATATCTTGGTATACTCGAAGACAGATCAAGAACATCATATGCACCTGAGAAAGACCTTGACAATTCTGAGGGAAAACAAACTGTATGTCAAGTTTTCGAAGTGTGAATTTTGGTTACCCGAAGTTTCATTTTTGGGGCATGTGGTATCTGAGAAGGGTGTGTCAAGGTGGAAGCCGTTACCAAATGGACTCGTTCAACTACTGTCGTTGAGATACCTAGTTTCTTAGGATTAGCTTGTTACTACTGACGCAAAGTAGCCGCCTCTTCTCAGGATAAATCTGGCTAAAGTTAATTTGCCACCTCCCGACAGGAATAAACTCTTCCAAAGGTCCAATTTCCTACACGCTTACACTTTCTCAACAATTGGTTCACAGAAGGACTGCTTCCGATTCCCTCCTAAAGGCATTCCCTAGTAGGAGAAAAGCTAGACGCCAGCCACATGCCCATTACTCAACCGTTGCAACCACCTCATGTTCGGAGATTTTTGAAAAAGCTAACATAGGACTCCTTGAAAGGAAAATGGAAGAATGGGATAACCTTTCAACAATAAACCAAAATCTTGATTCTGTAATCAAACTTCAGGGTTTTTCTCCACCGAGTCTGCTTTGGTAGCTCTGCAAGCGTCGGTGATGAGTGCCTTTTGTAACTATTCACTAGGTCACATTTTGCTAGATTGTAAGCCTTTTCTCTAGGGTGCACCCTTTTATAGGCTCTGTTTCTGTATTCTCTTGTATTCTTTCATTTGTTTTCTCAATGCAAGTTGGTTTTTTACTAAAAATAAAAAAACACAGATGGAAGAGCTTCCAAATCAAGTGTTTGGATGCGTGCCTATCAGAAGGACGTTGGACCTATATTGACTTTGTATAAATGGTGTCTAACACGTCAATTGCACTAATAAATGTCCAATACGTGTTCAACAAGTGTCGAAGTGTTTTTCAGACATGGATACTCTAACGAACTAAAGTGTTCATGCTTGTTAGCCTAGAATGATAAACGGACAGATGGCCTCTGCAATATTCTTCACATTTTTACCATGTTCTTGAACCTTAAAGATTAATGTGAGGAAAGTTATGATTTGGGTATCTATATTTGTGATCCGAAGGTGCCACAACCAGGTATTAGACAAGCCACTGAAGGGGCTAATCGCCCTGCTGACTTCAGTACCCCATATGCCTCTTGGAGGAAGCCATTACAAAACTCATTGGGAACCTGCTGTATTTAGAGTGGAGAGGGGACTGCCGAAGTTGAAATACACATTGGGGTTCTCCGTAGTTTGCACCTTGTGTGTTCTTTGTAATATTTTCTTGATAATAATTTTCTAGCTTAACAATAATTAGTATTAGTATGTAATCCTTTTCTTTTTTTTTCAATAAGTCAGGAGGTTCAAATTCCCATATTCACGAGCCAGTCTCTGGCTCTTGCTCTCTCAAAACTAGAGTTAGATTTTTCCCCATTCTCAATTAATTAAGAAACATACTTAGGTGTATCTTGGGCTGTACCTATCTTTTTGCAGCCCACCTAGATGTCCGACTACCGTTTGTCACGTGACGAACTCTTCTTTCTTATTCTTTTTCGAACTATTTTTGAATTTTTTGCTGAAATATGATTTGAGTGAGCTGCAAAAAGATGGGTTGAGCTTAAGATAGACCCAAGTAATGCTCTTATATTTATTATCTTCCCTCAATTTGGGCAAATTTGAGTTGCTCACTCGCACTTTCTCGCAGACCTTAAGAGTGAAGTGCTTTGACAAGTGCATTACAAAGCCAGGGTCAAGCCTAAGTGGGAGCGAGAGTAGTTGCATCTCCAGGTGCATGGAACGCTATATTGAGGCCACCGGCATCGTCAGTAGAGCCCTGTTTAAGACACCACACTGAAAAGAAAAGGTTTTGCTGAAACATTATGAGGTCCATGTTTGATAATTCCCCGTTCGATATTTGTTATTTAGTTCTTTAATCTCATGGATATTTGTTATTTAGTTCTTTAATCTCATGGGTCTTTATTACGGATCCACTTGAACACTCTAATATCTTCTAAGACACGATCAACATCGAAGTCGATCATTACTATCGTTGAAATGTTTTTGTCATTCTCCTTTCTCTTTCTCGTCTTCTTTCTAATCAGCCCCACCACTGATCAAAACACCCCAACAGCTTTGACAAACTCCCAAAACTGATCAGTGTGCATTGGTCGGTTGGTTGGTTCCTTCCATAATCGTTCCCAAAATTAACAAAAGACTTATTAAATACGAAATTGACCTATGAAACACTAATAAAAATTTAAGCACCTTTAACAAAGGTTAAAAAATATACCATATAGTATAAAGTAACCGACTATTTTAAATTAAGTTAAAGACTTATTAAATACTAAATCAACAAGTAAAATATTCATAACATTCAAAATTAAAGTTTATTTAGATAAGATAATTTATTTGTTAGTGATTATCTACAATTATCTATTTAGAAAAGTATTTGATTTTTACTTGTCAGAATCTATCTGTAATATACTTTTTAAAATAAAGTATTTGAGCACATTGTGTTGGATATGTTATTTATACACTAATATTAATGGGTGGGATACTACCCGATCTACATTAAACTCTCTTTGTGTTGGATAAGTTATTTATACACTAATATTAACGAGACGGTCTTTTTAGACATATCTCGGTTTCATTAGATAGTAATGTTTTATCCACCGTTATATCATGATGTTTACATATTTTTAATATTAGATCATGATGTTTTATTCTATAGTCTTAATTACATACCTACATGAGAAAATACACCACTCTATTATATAAATACTTAGATTCATATATGATGATGTTTACATATCTCTAATATTAGATCATAATGTTTTGTATCTATGAGCTTGATCACAGGCATACATGAAAGAATACACCACTTTATTATATATTTACTTAGGTCTGTTATTATATATTTACATAGGTCTGAATAGTTGTGACGAAGTACAAAATTAAAGCAAAAAGTTCTCTTTCATATCTTTAATTGTATAATAATAATAGTGATGATGATCAAAGGCACCACTAATTTAAAATTTTAGATATCAGTAATGACAAAAATATCATGATCTGGATCTTATTGATTTGTAAGTAAAATATGGATAAAATGTCAAAACCAAATCACATTTTAAAAAAACAATAAATCGATTTTTAATATTTAAACAATAAACAAGTATTTTTATATTTTTTTAAATAAAATTAAATAACATATTTGCATTAGCTATATTTTCTCGACATATTTGAAAAACGTTAATTAACCCCTTATCTCGATATTGAATTTATTAATGTGTAGAAATAATGCCAACCAAATTATTCACATATTTGATGAAAATTTATGCTTATTTAATAACGTTTTCATTTCTTGTTTTTTTTTTTTTTTTTTTTTTTTTTTTTTTTTTTTTTTTTTTTTTT